GCTGGGGTAGGCTCAGGCTCCCAGGGCCCTGAATTAGAGAAAGTGGTTAGAAAATAGATGGAAGATGGAAAAATATTTTTCGTCACTAATATATAACTTGCTTGGTGTAACGACTTCATTCACAGATATATTCAAACACAGAAATAAATTCAGTTTAGTATAAGCAACTTTGAACAGTTCCTGCATTGGCTGTAGATTGATAAATCTTCAGGCCCAGAGCCCTTTCCCCTGAGGTTGAAGATTTTTCCATGTTTCAGGTTTTCTGAGAGGATAGAGACAGGTTATATATTTTGCACTCTGTCCAGTTTGGAATTGATAATGATTTGATCACTTGCAGGCTCATGGCAAGTGCTGCTGTATTGCACGAAGGAAATGAGGAAGTACAGACAGGCTTCTCTAGCCCATCGTTTCATCATTTCACACACTAGGGGCTCCACAGCCACATGCAGGAGGCTCAGGCCTGCCTGGAGGACAGGCGCATCCCTTGCTAACTGCTAGCCCCTGGCAAGCCACAGGGGTCGCTGTTTCGGCGCGAGATCCCAACCCTACTCCCACCAGAGCTGAGCGAGATGTGCTCCACAAAACCCAGTCCCTCTCACATCACGTGACGTGAAAAGCCTCACATTAGAGTTTTTTCTACAAATAAAGGAGTCACTGTGTCCAAGAATTCCTGGGGCTCCAGAAGGGCTCATCCAGTAAAACTGGTCACACATGTGGCTTGAGCTCAGTCTGCGATGACATCAGTTGACAAATGTGGCTGGGATTCCTCACGTGAGGCCATCTAATAGAGGTCTCACCGGGTCCTCCTAGTTTTCAGTGAACACACAGCTACTGTGGAGGGGTCTTCTGACTTGCAGGGCCATCTGCCAGAATCACTCGGGACTTCAGGTGAATGGCAAAGTGGTACCTAGGTTAGGACTTGAGGCTACAAAGGATAGACTGTACTGACAGGTTTCATTGGTGAAGGTTTGTTTGCTGAGTTGTTAATGAGTGTTTTAAACCAAAAAAGCCTTTTCAAAAGAATATATAGCAATATGCTTGCTTGATATTTAAAATTGACCAGGGAGATTCATAGTGTATTGTTAATGTGTGTTGATATGTGTCAGGTGTGCTAGAAAGATACCTCGTGTTTTGATTTATCTAATAAGCAGTTGCTAAGAGGTAAAGCATGACTTTTACACAACGTAGCATTTGCAAACGTGCTTGAGTTCTGGCTGCATTGTGTAACTCACGACAGCTTGCCTGAGAATAGCCCACGCCTAAATGTTTCATGAAAAAATGAATTGCACGGAAAGAAGGATAGAAGTCCAGGATCTAATAATGAGTAAGACTGGTATGAAAATTGTACATTCCACCATTCCTCTGTTCACCTTTCCGGAAATCAATGGAACAGCAGGCTGTTCAGACTCACATCTCCCACTGCGGAAAAATCTATAGCTTTCTAATCCTACAGGGGGAAAAAAAGCCTCTCTAGGCATTCTTTGTGCTGTAACAAAACTGTCCTCCCACACTTGCTATTTATAGCCACGGTTTACCGTGGAGACTGCAAGAAATGAAAAACGCATCTATAATTAAACTCTCTTTCTCTGAAAAGGCCAACACTTCATGGCTGTCACGTGAGAACAAAGTGTTTCCTCTAGATAATATTATCCTTGTTCTTCAAGTGTCTTTCCTTGGTAACACGGAGAAGGCTGATCGTAATAGCAGTGGACTAAAAGAAGTTTCCATCCATCCATTATCAGATGGCTGTTTATTCCTGGTGAGGGTCATTTGGAGTCTATCCCAAAAGCTTAGGCATAAGACAGGACAGCACCCTGGACTGGACAGTCCATTGCAGGGCACTTGTACAAACAATCACACGTGGACAATATAGAAACACCATTTCACCTTGCTAGCACATCTGGGGAGTAAACGTGAGCACCTGGAGAAACTCCTACCAGAAAGCACTCCAGGCAAGAATTGACTTCAGGACCAAAGAGCTTCATCATGGTATCATGCCACCCTAAATGAAGTTCATTGCTTACTTCTTCTGAAAATATGCTGTGCTGCGATATTTTTCAATCTGTTTAGTGTGTAGATATCACCATGGTGGAAGAAATGTGATATTCAAACACACAGGATAGATCCCAAGATTATATAAAGGACAGTATTTTGAAATGGTTGAAGAGCTGACAAATGAGAATGTATGTTTTCAGTATTAATACCATTTCTGAGACGGCTGCATACGTGTCACTAGATGTGACTTAGCTTTTCAAGCTGAAGGACTTGTCATAATATTGTGCTTGCATGGTTGCCTTCCTACAAAGGCATTCCTGAGAGCATGTCATTGGAATGTTTTTGTTGTTTTTTAAATAATCCATTACATGTAAATGGTTGCACAAAAAGCATTTGGAATGTGACACACAACCATGTTTTGGTTCTGCCAGCCAAAATCTCATATTGTCATCTTGGTTAAAGCGAGTTGGATGGTCGTGTTGGCTGTGTGTATCTAGAGGGTGTGGATGTGTCATTGCCTATCTCCCCTTTGCCTTTCACAGGAATTCTTTTCCATTCTCAGATATTCTCTTCATTACAGAGATATACAGTAACAAAACAGCCAGGGGACAGGAGTGACTGGTGAGTTTAATAAAGATGACTTTAATAAAAATGGATAAAAAATGTAGGTGTAAATTCTGGTTGCATGCAAAGCTGGCGGGTCTGTTCGTGTCACAGTTTTGTGACGGCTGTGCCATGCACACTCCATGGGACGATGAATTTGGGTGTGTGCACGAACAGGAACATAGGGAACAAGCTGCACTGGATAATAACAGTACAAACTGTTGATTTGTACTGCTTGTGGCTGCCATTCATGGCCTTGGTGGTTTTTCTGAAACCTTTGGTATGTGCAGTCTTACCCCTGGTATCGTTTCCATCATGCACAGATTTCCTGATACAGTTGTTTAAATAGAATAGCTTTAAAAGCATCCTGCTGTACATGTGTGGAGACTGTCCGTTGCGTGAGAAAACTGTTTTTTTTTTGTGAACTTTGGTTACTGAACTTGGCCAACCTCTACATCTAAATGCCGAATGAAATACTGGATGCTTTTCATTTGGAACATCTCGGATTTTTCAAGGTCGTGGTACCGCCTAACTTTCCTTTACAATGGAAACAGTATCTACATGAACTCCTGGTTAGAAGAAATGGTAATCTAATAGGTGCTAAAGCCCTCTTTGTGATTTTTGTAGGCTTTTTTGAGGAGGAGGGAACCAAGGAATACTATATGTTTACTACCACCTACACACATTCATCGCATGTCACCCATCCCCGCGATGTGAACTTGTTCTCTTGTTGTAGCTCCGAGGCAGGCCTCTGGTTTCTGCAATGACACTCCTGTGCATATGAGCTCGTATTGGATTATATGCTAGAATGAACACCTGCAGAGATTTACATTCAAGTACAACACAGTCTTGTGTAGACGAAAGATTGTTCTCATTCTGTCCCTTCTAATTGTGAGAGACTTCTAAAATGCTGTTAGAAGAGTGAGCTTCACACAGAATTATGCTGCTGATTAAAACCCAAAGTGTTATATGCCTCTCTGTGTGAATTGCTTAGACATATGATAGAATATATATTTTCCTCTTTGCCCTTGTTTTACATTCTTTTGAATGTCCAGATACAAATTCCCCAAATTCTAATACTGAGACCTTTGCATTCTGAATCACCTTGCCTCTGATGTGAATTTCACGCTGCCCAGTAGGCAAGTTATGATAGAAGCTATGATAGAGCAAATCTAAGGTGGCGGCATGTTAAAACATTGAGGTGTCCGGATTTGTCACTGAATGTCAAAAAAGAGGGTCTATTAAGGCTTTATTTGTTTGTGGCAAATACTGTGAAGGAAGTAAATAAACCTTACTACTATGTGTATGTTACAGTCTGGTAAAGAAGTTAAGATGATCAAGCTTGTGGCCAGAAAATGCATTACAGTGCAACAGCTCTCTTTTTATTCTTATCACAGAATTTGTCTATTTTACAAAGCACATGTCTTCACCTGGCAGGACCCTGGTGGCTTCACAGCACGACGTCGGATATAGACTCGTTCATCTGGGTTATTGTGTTACACTCATGGTTCCTCTCTCTCCGAGACGGGCTCTGTCACCGAGCCCTGGCGTGCAGTCTCTCACCGGCCTCTCTGGCTGCCTCACACCCCTGCTGAAAAGGAGCACAGGTTTAAACAGGGAGGATCCCAGCTGTCAGGTTTAGATCAGGATATTAAAGACTGACAGCTGGTTCCTCCTAGGTGGTGATAAGGCTGATACGGTACACCTTTTACTCAGTAGGCCGCGTTTTCAAATTCTTTATCTGGGATTAATTCTTTCCTAACCATATCTACTCAACTTGGAGTAATACAGGGTATTCACCTTTTAAATGTTTTCCTCACAATACAGTATGTATGTTTCTGCTATGCTGCACCATGGTTTTGGTATGCCTTGAATGTCCTTGGACCTTCAGCCAATGAGTGAACCGCAGTATACAGTACCATTGTAGACATTCTTTAGACACATTTACTGTCATATACTGTAGATTGGGATTCCTATGGGCCAGGGTAATAAAAAGTAGTTAAGCCAAAGGAAACCGTAGCAAAACTAAGAAAAAAAAAACATGATGCAGGTTTGAAAACACTGTCATGAATTTACTTGTATAGCTTTTTATGCATCCAATGCATTTAATAAAAGCCTGCACGGACAACCCCCCCAAAAAAACACAGCATAAGGAACATTGCATTTTTTATTTAATCTGTACTGTATAATTGAATATTACCACAACTGGGAGAGAGTGCTTGTGGAGTACATCACATTCCTTTGTACTGTGGCTTGTGATGACATTTAGAAACAGGGCAGGAATTAAAAGGGAGACAAATGATGATTGTACATGTAATCAGATAACATTTGTTATTTTCAAGCGTGTCCTTTTCATCATGGGCGGGACTCAAAGTAATTTATTCTCTCTTTCTCTTCCCCAGCGCTGATCCTTCTCTTCTATCTAGTCTTCTATGGTTTCCTAGCCGGGCTGTTCACACTCACTATGTGGGTTATGCTTCAGACATTGGATGACTACACTCCAAAGTACCGCGACAGAGTCTCTAATCCAGGTAATGTCTCTTGCACTGTACATGACACAGACCATGCTGGAATGAATGCAGATGTTTTTAATGACCTCTTCACTAAAGCTGCAGAAAGTGATTATTTTCCTTTTCAGGGCAGTTCGAATTTAACCAATAGAACATGAATAGTGGGTAGAAATGAAAAATGATTGATTTGGGGGAAGGTTTGTATTTTCATTTGGATTTTATTGTCAGGTTCTTGTGTGACGCAACCTTACAGGTAACAGCTGTTAATTGATTTAGAAGGTGTTTTAAGCTGAATTGTGTCCAATAAAACAAACCTGTAAAATTAACCTTTTTTTGCACATAGTGATGTATTGACCATTGCAGAGCTGAGTACTTTTAGCTGCAATCAGAACTTTCAATTAAATGTTTTGGCTGCTACAAGAGATACCTCTATTAGGCATCATCTAGCAAGATCACCATATGCAAACAGGGAACATGTCATGTCATGTCATTTGCCAAACTGCTTTATACCCCACGGTGTCGCGGGAATCCAGAGCCTACCCAGCAAGCAACGAGCGCAAGGCAGGGCATCGCAGGGCAAGTGCAAGCCAATCATACATGGGGACAATTTGGAGGCTACGGTAAAGGCTGGGGAGGAAATTTGGCTCGGACACCGGGATAACTCCCTGCTCTTATCGAGAAATGTCCGGGGATCTTTAATGACCACTGAGAGTCAGGACCGCGGTTTAACGTCTCATCCGAAAGGCAGTGCCCACTACAGTATTGTGTCCCCGCCACTATACCGGGGCATTAGGACCCCCGCTGGTCCCACTAACACCACTTCCAGCAGCAACCATAGCTTTCCAGGAGGTCACCCATGCAGGTACTGGCCAGGCTCAACCCTGCTTAGCTTCAGTGGGTAGCCAGTTGAGAGCTGCAGGGTGATATAGCTGCTGGCCAACAGGGAACATCCCTGTTTTATTTAGAATAATAGACAACCAAAACAGTATTTTCTGTAACTTATCATGAATGGCCATTGAGTCGGTTCAAAGCTGTTCCTGCAGCTGTTAAGTATAAATCACCTCAGTCTGTGTCATGCCACCTTCTAGAAAACACCATCTGAATAGTGAAATTATCATTTCATTCAACTCTGTCTTTCCATGTTAAGCCTATCCCTACAGTCCGTATCTAAAGAATATTGACTCTTCATTTGATATTTTTGATTCCCATCTACTGAGCTGTAAATTTAATTTCTTAGCAAGACTTTCAGTTCTTTATTCGATGGATCCACAGTTGTTTTGTTTCCCTATATTAAGGAGCTGGTCGTCACAAAGACCTGTATTGGTAGGCACTGTAAAGTTTCATATTGTTTGAACAGGAGAGCCAAAAAGGGGTTTTAAGGACAGGATTAGCAGGTTCTGTGTATCACGTAACAGGGCTCCAAGCAGACCTTGCTGAAAGGCGCAGAGCTCTTTGCCGTGCGAAGACCCTTTCATTGTGCCACAGTGGTGTGATGTCCCACAGTAGGCCTCTGTCACATTTCAGGCCTAACAAGGCGACGCAGTGGGAGTCTCTTGCTCTGGGGGCCATGGAAACAAGTTCCAACTTGCAAGGGAGAAATCATTACAGTGTGAAAAACAAAAAAAAAGGGTAAAGGGGCTAGCAATTTACAGATTGGAAGAAAAAAAGGCCCTTCCGAACTGAACTGCCGTCGAGAGGAGATAGTTGGTTGATCGCTAGAGAATATACCATGCTTTTGCACTTGCACTTGCTTTGGTCTTGGAGTTATCGTGAAATACAGCTTTGCCTGTTGTTCCTCCCAGACTGAGAATTCCTGTCATCTGATGCTACAAGCTTGGCGCAGGCCTGGCTCTCCGCTGTGATTCAGACATTGCTGCCATGCAGTGATTCACACATGTTAATGAGTCCCGGACTGAGTGGACTAGATGTTTGAAGAAAAGCAACTGTAGGCAACATAATAATATGCCTGCAAGTGCACAAGGGATGTCAGTGGGGCTTCTTGCACTGACATAACAGCAGTCTCAAATGGCCTGCATGTCTTGCAAGGAAAACTTTTTAAATCGGTGTCTATTACAGTGCAACACTCCTTTTTACTTTCCTAGTAGATCAGTTTAGAATCCTGCTCAACAGTGATCTTATTTGAATTAGTAGCTTTCCATTTTACATGATCGTTAAAGAAATTGTTAGGAAGATGACAGTTTATTTTGTAGCACGTGTACTGACATTATATTGAGCAGGCAATCATTATGCTGATGAACATTTGTCATCTGTAGGGGTTTATGTGAAAGTCACAGTCACAGTTTAATAGCATGTGTAGCACCAATGAAAGCAATTAAGATGCATTTGTGATGCTGTATTGTAATTACACCAGGTTGCTGTTCCTGTATTGTGGGTTTCTGTCCCGTTTCTCTCGCAGGGCCTGGGCAAGCATGTGCCTGTTCACTGGTCTCTGAGCTCTGGGTGTCACACATCCTCTCATTTTGATCTTGCAAGTAAGCTGCTGTTACACGGGCAGCTGAAGACATGTGTTGTCCTGTTGTAATGTTGTCATGTGAGGCTGAGCCTGCAGGGAAGTGGAGTTCTGTAGTGACTCCTGGCCAGACCACACTTTAGTTGCATGTAAACAGCAATTAGCATTTAGTTCCAAACATCTGCACCACAATCGCATAGCCATCAGGGTAGTCTACAAAAAACCCTGATTCGTCGCTAAAGAGAAAAGTGTCTGTTTTGTCTGAAGTGACAAAATCCAGCCTCAAAAGGGACATTGTTCTCATGCTAAGTAGGGCATGTTGGTTCCTTTCTTTCTGTGTTTTTCTCTTTTTATTTCATGCAAGGTTGAATCACATCGTCACCTGTTTCCAATTAACTCTGTCACTAATGAGATGAGTAAGCGCTTGTATCACGGTCAGTCATCTAATCTGTTCATCAAAATGAAGCCAAAATATTAAAACAATTTCTAGAATCTGTATACTTTATTTAGGCATGTTTTTACTAAGAAAACTAGAGTGATGTTTTTTTAATACTCCGTATACAGTTTAGTTTACAAATGTTAAGATGAGAGACCTAAATCTGTTACTTCTGGCCACACGTTGTACATTTGTCTGTTGGCTCTTGACTGTTATTCCATACAGTCTTTGTGTTGTTCAAGCACGTGTAAGAAAACAGTTTTACCCAGATCAAGATGCAGTTTAATAAAAACTAAAATAGCGATAAATCATCTGATGCTTGTAAGCAAAATGTTCTGTCAGTATTAGTGAGTGTATTTATAAGAACTGCTTCTGTAAAGGTACTAAGAACTAGGGCTTTGTTTTTTTCTTTTCATCTGAAAGATGTGGAAAGATGAAAGATGAAGTACTATAGACATATCAATTTTACCACAATTTTTTAAATTCATGACAATATTTTACATTTGTTTCCTTCGCTAACTACCAGTGAGCACACAGGAATGGTACTGAGAAACAATAAAAACAGAACAAATGGGAATTTGGAACCAGTGACATGGTATATAGCCATAATAAGAATGTTAAATAGATGTGTACAGTAACTTATGTTCAAACATATTTTCTTTTATCTGATTTAAAATACATGAATGTTGCCTGGTGGCTTGGTGCCGCAGTGGTTAGTATTGCTACCTCTCAGCGCTGGGGGCCTGGGTTTCTCCTGCTCACTCCTGCTGCTGGCACATAAAGGCAGCTGCATGTGGCCCATGTGGGAGCTGTACTTCAAAGGTGCATGAAGTGGCCCACAAGCCAATATGTGAACATGTGAGATGAAAAGCACAAAGATTTACACAATAAAAATTAATTATAATAATAATAATAATTGCTTACACTTATATTTTGCTTTTCTGGACACTCCACTCAAAGCTCTTTACAGGTAATGGGGACTCCCCTCCACCACCACCTATGTCCAGCCCCCCATGATGCAATTGCAGCCATAGTGCGCCTTAACGCTCACCACACATCAGATATCAGTGGGGAGGAGAACAGAGTCATGAAGCCAATTCATAAATGGGGAATATAAGGAGGCCATGATTTAAATGCCAATGGGAAATGTGGCCAGGACGCCAGGGTTACACCCCTACTCTTTTCGAGAAACGTCCTGGGATCTTTAATGACCACAGAGAGTCAGGACCTCAGTTTTACATCTCATTCGAAGGACAGCACCTTTTTACAGTATAGTGTCCCAGTCACTGTTCTGGGGCATTAGGACCCACATGGACTGCTGGGTGAACATCCCCTGCTGGCCCCACTAACACCTCTTCCAGCAGCAACCCAGCAACAACAGTTTTTCTCAGGAAGTCTCCCATCCAGGTACTGACCAGGCTCACACCTGCTCAGCTTCAGTGGGTTGCCAGTTGTGAGTTGCAGAGTGATATGGCTGCTGGCTTTAATATCTTGCCACCTATATAGTGAGGTAGTTGCAATTAAACTATATGGCTTTCGAATACATGTTTTTCCTGAAAAATGAAAACTACAGCCTTTGCTTTGTAGCTGACGATATGTCTGTAGAAATTACACAGGAAGTCTTTGTGTCATTTTTACCTCGCCCTCCCCTGTGGCTTTTGAGCCAGTCCCATCACAAAGAATCTCAGGCATGCTTTAACTGGAGTTGGCTTATGGGAAGTCATTTAACACAGGGACTCTGTGGATCAGTGATAGTGCTTTGTATCTGACAGCTCTTCAGAGTGATGGTGTCACCTACGTGTTAACTTAAGCACCATGAGGTGAAACTAGAAAAACAAACATACTCCGCTACCTGCAAAATCACTTAGAAGTTCCTCCAGTTTCTCCTTAGGACATTATTTGTTGCAGTGGGAAAAACTGGACTGTCTTCTTGAAGTTATTGCTAAGGATATATCCTTCATCTCTTTAATTATCCAGAGGGGTTGCCTTTTTAAAATTTATGGATAATCTGTTTTGGTAAAGAGACATGTTGCTTGCACAATATATATATATAAAGATGAATTACAGTATAAGCCCCTGCTGCAAACATCAGTTAAGTGGGTTTAATTGAAAATGACAAGGCACAAATTTATAAACACTTCTAGGAAAACAAACACAAAGAACTTTATCTGAAGCACCACATCTGTGTGCGTGTTCAGTGATTAAGACATTCGTTGTATAGTGTCCTGTGGAATGGAGTATTTTTGAGATGTGTGGGTCTGACCCATTTTTTATTTTTACTGTTTCCTTTTTAATTTGTAAGTGGCTAATATATTCCATGGGCTAAGCATCAAAGCACATTGAGAGACAAAATATGCATCTTGAAACCAGTGTCTGTGAAGTGTATTCACAGTGCATTTGAATCAGTCTGGATTCTTTACTATTATTTGTTACCATTGTTCTAACTTTTCTACAGCTTTTATGTCTTGTAAAAATATTTTTTCCTTTAAATATAGAACAGTGAAAATGACAAAATGCCTTTTCTTGTTTTTCATAAGGACAAGGAAAATGGACTGTAAAGATGCATACATCTTTGTAATTTCCTATAAACAGAAAATGGGTGGTGATCGATAAGTATTGCAAATCTTAACACATGCATTTCCCCCTTTTAAAACTTGAGTAAAAGAGTAATTTATTTGCAAATGGTGTAAATACATCATTTACAATTATGTATTTTTTTTCAGGTTTGGTTATAAGGCCAAGAGAAATGGATATATTTTTTAACAGATCAGATCCTTTAAACTATCGCCAATATGTCCAGCATCTTGAATCATTCTTACAGCGTAAGTGATCATTCATAGTCTTCTGTTTTTCTCCTTTAAATTCACATTGAATAGGTTCTGTTTTTTAATTGAAATTAAAGATCATTTGCCCTTTGTCGGTAAGGAAATATTCTGTATTTTATGCACAGTACTAATTTTTCTTTAGTGTCTATTTTCTGGTTTTTGAAAACAAGTGCATAGCTTTCATTATTTTTTAACACCTCTAATGTGTAAAATAATGTGTAAAATAATTTAGTTTGAAGATGCAAATGAAACAACCAGCAGGATTTTTCTCAGATGTTAGGCAAAAGTTTGTAATTAACAGTCATTCTTCTTTATTCTGGTCCTGTTATGAACGTGATCATACATATTCAAATATCAGTAATAATTAAGTCTTAAAGATAGACATTACCTTAATTACTCTTAAAAACTTGATATTTCTCTTTCACACAAGACAAAATTCATTTGTGATGCAGGAGCCAAATGTTGGTCCTTGGACGTACATTATGAAAAGGCACCTTAGATTAAAAAAACACCTGCAATCAACCCGATATTTGCATAATACAGCTTACTGCCTAATTAAAGTGTGTGATCTTTTGTTTAATTTCCAGAGTATAATGATACAGAACAGGACAAAAATGTTGTCTGTACACCTGGAGTTTATTTTGACCAGGATGACATGGAAACTCAGAAGAAAGTGTGCCAGTTTAAGCGTAGTTCCCTGGGCCTTTGCTCTGGACTGCCAGACACCACCTTTGGGTATGCAGAAGGGAAACCTTGCGTACTGGTGAAAATGAACAGAGTGAGTACCACTGCCCTCCATGGTTCCCTGTCAGCCGTGAGTCTATGACACTGCTCTGCGCTGCGGTTTTAAAGGCGTCTTCTAGTAGTGGCTAAAGAATAAATCCGTTCACTTACTGAAATGAAGTTGGTTAAAAGGAAAACCTGTTCACCAGCATTATCATTACGTTCATGGGCATCGTAATGATCAATATGAGAACATGTTAAAAAGTAAAAGAAGAAACCCAGGGATGTTTGTCAGATGTTTGTTAGGAGCTGAAAAAGAGAATCGCTCTGAGTTAAAGAAACTCAGATGAGATTTTCAGAAGGACTTCAAGCCGTCAGTAGCGAGGAGCATACTGATCTGTATTTAAACACACCTTTATGCATTTATGAACATGGTGAACAGACTTGTCCTTTCCAGAAACCACTTTACTACGAGTATTCGAGAAACGTTCGTGGGGCCTGATGTTTTTTAAAGTTTGGATTCACCAATGACTTTTTGCTACCGTTGGGTGGTTTTTGGCTCGGTTCGTGGCTGTGAACTCTGCAGCCTGCAGCCACACACAGAGGGAGAATGAGGGAGTGGAGGGAGACGGTGCCGACCTGCCCACTTCCCAGTCACTGGGAAGGCCCCAGGGGGCACTGTATTGCTAAGTGCCAAGAAAGTCCTGACTCACAAATCACAACCCTTCCTTTGGCGGCACCTAGTATGTAGTGAGCTACTGTTTGGGGAGTCCTGGTCACAGCTGGCCAGTGACGCGACCCAGATTCGTACCCTTGACCACAAAGCTTAACCAAATACAAGCGCCGTTACCAGCTGAGCCCCACGAAGGCACCTGATTAATTTTAAACTAACAAAAAGCACAAACATGATGGATTGATGATTTAATTTCTTTTTCAGATTATTGGACTTAAGCCACGAGGGAGTCCTTTCATAAATTGCACTGCTAAGGTAAGTGACTTTGAGAAATCTTGCCGTGGATTTTTTTTTAATCAAGAAGGCATTTATGGCTTCCTGCACAGTAACGTGTGAATATTTGGAACTGTATTCTAAGAAATTGCAGAATAGGCATTAATATGGAACTTGTGTACATCCATAAATGTACACAAGTTTCTTTTTTCACTTATACCTAAGCAAAGGAGCTTAAGATAAGCACCAGCTGACTGTATTCCTCTTTAGATTAAAGTTTTGTAAAACATTGTCTACAGACTTTGAAACAAAAATTGTTTAAACATTAAGTGAAATCGGTATCTTACTATGCAATCTTGTAACCCGTAAAAAAGAACTGCTGATATGAATATTAATGTGCCCATCATTTGAAATGATCAACATTATGTTCTTTAAAATCATATAACAATAAAAATGGTTTATGTTTTTTATATTTAGTATCTTCAAGATCTGTAATCCATATGTGAGGCTGAGGACTGTTTTTTGTGATCAGTTTGACTTAAGAGAAAATAGCAGCTGACAGTTTTACTGCACCAGCACCACTGTATTCATTTAATGTGAAAAGAAGTTACTGTCATTTTTTGCAATCCGAATGCCTATGATTAATCTCTAACCAGGCAGACCTTTATGTATATCCAAATATGATTGTTATTTCCTGATTGATTTGAGTAAATAAACAATCCCAGGGAACAAGGTATTGTGAATTATTGGATATATCATATGTACAGTCATTTTACATTACAGTTTTGTTTTCAACAGATTATAAAATGATATGCTGTCTCCTGAGCAAATAGATTACGTGGTCTGAGTAAATTACACATCATAGAACTGTTGAGAAAATATGGCAAAATCCATTTAGAGTATCATTGCATTACTTTGCACAAGCTGCTGGTACTGTAATTGGATTTCAGTCAATCAGATGGAAGATAGTGTCAGTCCATGAGTGTGGGCTGGGCAATAGCCAGATATGAACCCAATGGAATGTGTGTGGCTCATTTATCGCTTTTCCTATTGGAAACTGGGAGATAACTCAATCTTTCACTGGGACTCCAATGAATTCGCTCTTTATCAGGTATGGGCTTTGCTAATCACAGGGTTAGAACTCTTTATATTCAGAGAAATGTGAATCACTAGACAGCTAAACCTCACCATACAAAAACACTTAACCTGCTCTTTTTTTTATGCGTGCTAATGCAAAGCAAATGCACTGTACAACATGTGGAGATTTTGAAAAAAAGTTTCAAATGGATTTAAATGTTGTTTTTTTATATTAGAAGGTAATTGTTTTGTGTTCTAATTTCTTGTCACACTACTTTTCGTCTTGTGTGTTTTCATGTGTTTGTTGTTTTATTTCTCTTCACGCTGCAAATAGAGCCTTAGCCAGTAGTAAGACTGGTGGGTATGAGGCAAGTGCCATGTGTTCCCCTGGATTTTCCTGGGATTTCCTTAAAGACTTTCCTCCAGCTATGCAATCTCCGCAGTGCTTTCGTAGTCCCTGTGTAATGCAGTGCATTTTTGTTTAAGCTTTAAACAAGCATTCATACTTTATATATTGTATACCTTCAAAACCAAAGCAAATTGAGATGAGTTTTTTTTGGTTATCAGGTCAT